CCCCCCCCCCGCCCAAGCAGGAGACCCTACACCATTTAGTTTAACCCCTTCCTCTCTGTGGCAGACCCTCAAATATTGGAAGACTGCTATCCTATCTCCTCCGGTCCTTTTGTTCATTAAAGTCAGATTAACAGAGGTGGAAGGGACCCCCCCGTAGGTCATCTAGTCCAACCTCCCCCACCCAAGCAGGAGACCCTACACCATTTTCTGACAGAGGGCAGTCCAGCCTCTTCTTGAAAGCCCTCCAGGGATGAAGGTCCCACAACTTCTGAAGGCAACTTCTATCCTGTTCTCACTGTCAGAAAATTCCTCTTTATTTCCAGGTTGAATCACTCCTTGATATGTTTCCATCCATTATTCCTTGTTTGGCCTTCAAGGGTGCCTTGGAAGATAGCTTGACCCCCTTCCTCCTCCTCTCTGGGGCAGCCCCTCAACTATTGGAAGACTGCTCTCCTGTCTCCCCTGGTCCTTCTCTTCCCTAGACTAGCCAGGCCCAGATTGGACGAGACCTTTTTCTAAAAAAAAGGCTTCCCAGCCTCTGATGTTGATGCTCAGGTGTGGTCTACCTTGATCTTGAAGGCTCTTTTGAAACCACTGGCGAAGAAACCTCCAAAAGGTCCAATCAGGGATGCAAAAGTGGAGAGGGCAATGCTGTGGATCTGGAAGGGATACATCCTCACCATCTTCTGCAAGGAAGGAGAGGGAAGTGAGGGAAACGGGCCAGGTGAGTGGCGCCCCTCCAACCTGCAATGAGGGGAGAAGAGGGATGCCAACCCCCCCTCCCCCTCCCTCTCCCCCGGGGTCGTTCAGCATTCGGGTCAGTCCATTAAGTCCCCCAAGATGAGTTCCTGCTTTGTCAGCTGGGGCTCAGGAACTGCCAACAGGTGTGTCCAATGTGGGAAAACCAGAAGTCCAGGCAGTTCAAATGAATATATATATATATAATTTTATTGAAAGCTGACAGACGGTCTCTACAAGAATCCGAACTACTAACGGTCAAAGCAAACTGGCGGTGGATAAGAATGAATGGAATTCAAAGTAGGCTGGACTCAGATCTCTTGTGGGCATGAAGGGACTCGAGGCTGATGACGCCTTTGACTTCTCCTTCAGGAGCAGGCTGGCCATTTCCTACAAGGAGGCGTGTCTGTTATTAGTCATACCTTCGGAGTTGGACCATTTTGATCTGAAGTCAATTTAAAGGCCAGAGGGCTCATTTATGAGAGAAATTAAACCGATACGGTCTGGGAGTCAACCCTAGTCTTGGGGGACGTCTTAAGAGCCTCCGTTTGCATTCATCAGTTCAGTTTTGGCTGGTTTTCTGAAGTTGGGTTCCAAACCATGATGAGATTCGGCGCCCTGCCCCGTCCTGCCCCAACCTTGGAGGTCAACAGTGAGGCGTTGATGGAGCAAATCTTATTTCTGGCACCACCACAAGCTAACTTTCCTTTTGGTAACTCAACCATGGTGGGCAACCCTTGGAACTATAGCCACAATTCCTTCTTCTGCCTGTTTGGGGGTGAAGGGCATGAGACCAGTTAAGGGGGGGTGGGGGAGAAGGGAAGCAAATTTTTCATCCAAAAATTGTGGATTTGTAAAGTGAAAGGGAGATGGGGCAGTTAAAAACTACAGTATATTAAGAATATATTAACATATTAAATATAGATTAAATATATTTAACTCAGTACATTCATAGTTCATATTTTTGTTTATAAACGTTTTTAATATATACAACTTATATTAAGAGATGTACGTGCACACACCCGTTTTAAGCCTTGCAAAAAGTTTAAGATCTTATCTGGCCATTTAGCTCCCTCCTAAAATGAGAAATATTGATCCAAAATTCTTTTTAGGGGCTGGAGAGTTTTAAGGACCAAAATGGAGATAATATCAATGTCACCCCTTACTCCCCCTCCTCTCCCCCACCAGAAATAAAATATGATGGCCATAATTCCCCCCTCCCTTTTTCAGCACGTGAAAAGGAACGCGTGTTTTAGGGATTTTTGCAACACTGCCGGGGCAAATGGGAGCAGCTGAATTGAAAGGCCTACCCAGCCGATCACGGACTGGAGCACCAGTGGGATGTTATATTCTTGCAGCTGGAAAAGCTCCGAAGGCTCACAATCCACAGTGAAGCTGTTGGTGTCGTTGTTGAATTCGACTGGGCACGTGAAACATCTGTATCCGGACATCAGGTACGATAGCTTGGTGGGGATTGATGGGAGAAGAGAAGGAGAGTCACAGAGTTAACTTCCGCCATGGTGCCTTAAAAATAAGGTCAAACTAGTAGACATGAAAACCAGAAGGGATAATGTCAGAGGATATTCATGAGCTGGAATAAGAGCATGAGAACCAGGTCATGAATACGCAGAGCAACTAAGTCAGCCAAGGAGGACTGTTTGGAAACTGAAACTAGAAGCAGCCTAGGCCTGGATCTATATATTAAGCTCTGCAGCTCTGTTGAGCTCCGAGTCTGTCTGTTGAAGATGAAAGTGCTTCTTTCCTCTGCTGTGTGTCTTGCTTGTCTGCTGAACTAAAGTGAAACTGAGGTCTGTTTTCTGAGCTCCCGAGTTGCTGTTCTGCTTTGAACCTGTAACCTGTCTGCTTCTGTTTGAGTTTGGAGAAACGCTGGAGAAATCTACAACTGGTATTGTAAAATTTACTTTATGTGTTGATTAAGAAGTTAAAATGAAGCCTCAGCCATCTGTGTGTACTTTTCTGGCGCTGGATTTATGCTGGAAAACTCTGAACAGATGAAAACGAACAATTTTCCTAAGGTTTAACTACAGGTAGTCCTCCGTTCACTACGGTCAATGGGAGAGGATTTCTGTTGCTCAGCTTCACGTGGTCGTAAAAGCATGCTGTCACGTGGCCGCCTAACTCAGCTAACAGCAACTGAATAGTCACCGGACGTTGTTCACTGAGGACTAGTTGCATAACCCTCTCAAGCTGGCAGGGGCCATGAATCCTTTTGCTCAATCAAGGTGGGATTTCTTTCAAGCTCCTTTCAGCTGGACACTTCCCTGGAACTTTCTTAGCGGCAACCTGGAAGATTTTGGCCACTACTTTCTTTCAGGATGTTGGGTTAACTTTCCAATCTATTTTACCACCCAGGAATTCTGGCAGGGAATCAAATTTAAGCATCCCAGATAGAGAATCTTCTAGCGCTTTACCATACAGGGAATGTATTTTGGTTATCCAGTCTATTGCTAAACTCTTAATGCTGAGAGGATTTTTCAAACATTGAAACTGGAATTGGACTGCCTGAGACTTAAATCTGTTATCCTGGAACAATAGTGAGCAAGAAACCTATTTTTTGTGCCTCCTCATTGTTCTCATGAACAACACAGAATCCCTGTAGTCTCTCTTAGTGTCCAAACTGTCCAAATTCAAAAAATGTGTTGTTTGCTCGTATCTTTCCCAGTTTGCATAAGCCTTTCCTTGCGAATTTCCTGGTGGATTCTGCACCCTATGGGTCAGGCCTGTGTTTTATAGACGTGTTCAAATTCTTCCTGTTTTCCCCTCTTGATTTGTGTGGTTTCTTATTAAAGTAAAACAAACACTTACTAAAAGGCCAAACACAACAGTGGCAAAGAATCCTCCAATGAATCCTTCCCAGGTTTTCTTTGGGGACAACTGCAGATTCAAGAGGAAAAAAAAAAGAGAAGAATGAATCGATAAATAGAAAAAAGGGGAGAATAGAAATCAGGAAGCTCAAGACCAAAAAATGCAGGATTTCCAAAACTAGAACAGAAGGATTAGGGGTGTCATAATAGCAGCCTTCCAATAATTGTAGGGCTGTCAGAGAGAAGGGGGGATCAATCTATTCTCCAAAGCATCGGAAGACAGGAGAAGAAGTGATGGATGGAAACGGATCAAGGAGAGATCCAACCTAGAACTAAGGAAAAATTCCTTGGCGGCGAGGACCACCAACCAGTGCAAAGGTCTTCAAACTTGGCAAGTTTAAGACTTGTGGATTTTCAACTCTGGCCTCAACTGAAGCCCAAGGCTGTCCCCCTGCAGATGTCCCAATCACCCCAACATAGGAACCGACCTTAATCAGCGGGGTGCGTCCAAAGAAGAATCCAAACATGTACGCCATGATGTCATTGCAGATGACACAGGAAATGGGGACGATAAACCTAGGCGGCATCCGAGGTGGGTAAAAGAGAAGGGAGAACCGGATTCAATCGTAGTTGACACAACAGAACTGCCAACCAAGAGGGCTCTTCGCTTGGATGACCGTTGGGAAATTCAACAGCTCAACACAACTGGAGCAGGGGCCTCCAACTTTGGCAACTTTTAAGGCTCGTGGACTTCAACTCCAAGAGTCCTTAGGGCTCCTTAAAAAACTCCCCCCACCTCCTTGGAAGACGATCCCTATTAACTCCTCAAAGCTATTTGTCCCAAAGGTCTTTTTTTTTTTTTTTCCCCCAAGAGGCAACTGGACTTTCTGGTTTTTCTTTGAAGATGTTTCGCTTCTCATCCAAGAAGCTTTTTCAGCTCTGACTGGATGGGGGGGAATGGAAGGACTGATATTCCTTGCAGACAGCTGGTCATTTGCACCCCCTTTTAAGAGGGTCGTTGAGGCCACTTGGAGACTTTTAGCTATACAATTTGGGGTGAACCCCCTTGGAATGGTGTGGGAGGAGGAATGGATTCCCAGAGGGAAAAAATTGCAGACTACAGGAAACATTTGCACCAGTCAGGTGACCCTGAGGACACAGACAAACCTCCAAGTGGCCTCAACGACCTTTTAAAATGATGCAAATGACCAACTGAATATAAAACCTTCCTTGCCTCTTGAAAAAAACACATTTGGGACAACTATGACCTGGATGACGGAGAATATCCACAGACAAACCTATTTGTCTTTTAAATGCAATAATATTTTATTTTATATAAATAAATATTTTTGTAACCTTAAAGCTAGCAGATCTGAAATTTGGCAGTTCTCAGCTGGGACATGCTTCACTTTTCTTTTTTTTTTAGTAAGTAAGTAAGGCTCAATATCATTAATATTTTGACTAAAATCCCCCACCAAAACCCTAAAAAAACCCAGGCAGAAATATCTAGCCCCTTCCCTCTCACCACTGCACCACACACCCCCACAGGGTGCTAAAACACCAACAAAAGAAAACTTGCCTGCTCTAGTTTACGCCTACATTTCTTCATACTTTAAATGGCAATAAAGGAGCCTTTAATATGTAAAAAAAGTCCCATTTTTAATATTGGTTCCATCGTTCCAGTTTGAAATAATTCTCTTGCTGTTGCAAAGCTTAGTTTAGAAATGACATCATCATCACGCTCTCTCCTTAATAAAGGCCACGTCTATTTTGGTAAATGGATTTCTGTCATTTTATTTAATAAAACAAAAAACAAAAAAACACCAGAGGTATGAATCAACTTCTGTTAACTGTTTTCAGGTCACTAAAAATGAACTCAGGACGAAGCCGGCCTGCTTTGGTGAAACCTACACAATTTGTTCCGTGGTGTCAAGCTAGTCTTCCCTTGGGTCCTTCCAGCCTGGTGCTCAAATGGAAATGAGGTCTACCCGTTTTCAAGCTGCCAAGTTTGGAGGCTCAAGGCAAGGGCGGCTTGGCTTTTAGCAGGCCTGGTTTTCAAGAATCAAGGAATGGCATCCCTGGGGGGAATCTGGCCACGAGGTCTCGGTCAACGGATGGATGAATCCATAGGTTGTCTTTGCACACGTAGGTGTGAGAGCGCGATGGGCTCAAACTAGCCCGGAAATGAGAATTGGCAAAGTGGAAGTGGACGTTCGTCCAAACCTAGCCAAACATTTGCCCCTGCTGTGCTGAGCCCCCTGCAGATGAAGGAAGCCCCTGGGTGGCAAAAGGGCCTTGCAGGTCCCTAAGGCCTATGAACCGAAGACAAATTCCTCGTGTGTCCAATCACACTTGGCCAATAAAAGAATTCTATTCTATTCCTTTTCTCTATTCTATTCTGTATTCTCAATTCTATTCCTATTCCTACATTCTATTCTATTCTCTATTCTATTCTCTATTCTATTCTATTCTCTCCTCTTCTCTATTCTATTCTATTCTCTTCCGAC